GGACAGGAGATCACTGGAAACAAGCTGAACCATTTTCTTGTTGTTTCATTTCCATCAAGCTGCTGAATTTGCTAAGTGTCTGTGCATCTGTATAAGTGTAGTAGCTGACCTCACAATGTTTTCTGTGTGACTGCATATTTCTAAGGCTTTTTCTGCCTTCTATGAGAAACTGTGAAGTGCTAAGAATTGTGCCAATGAGAGGACTGTTTTCCAAACTGTGAACAAAATAGTTTATTCTGATGACTGTTAGCAGAGTGGGGCACATTTTCCTGGTCTCTTCTACTACAGTTTCAAAAATTTTACCTATTGGATTGTGTTATTCATTTGGGACCACATTACAAAGCATTGATTCAGTATATTTTCAGGCTTGCCACCACATTATAAAGCTATTTTCCAGCACAAATTAGTCAGTACAAAACCAGCAAATGAAGCTTTATGTAGTGGGTTGTACAAAGCATTTAACTGGTTTTGAAAACCTTGTGGCTACTGAATCTGGAACTACTTTCAAATATATATTTCTTGGTCTTTTGAGGGTACTTATCTATTTTTAATATGAAGTCTTTTTCAAAATTACTTGGCCTCATTCCCAAAAGTCAGTGTTTTGCTCTTCAAAGATTAAAGATTAAAGAATAAATGCTGGAGGCAAAATTATACAAAGGTTCTTTTGTAGCTCTGAAAAATAAGGGGCTTGATTTAAGCAGTACTGAAGGAGTTTCAGAAGTTGAAACTTTTTTTTCAGTATACAGCTATATTTGAAATATGCTGATATTTAGCCAGCCAGAACTGAATCCAGCAGGAACTTCTTACCACAGCCTCCTTGGCCTTCCATGGTAAGGCCAGTGCACTGTGGCCCCCAAGCTCACAGATGGCAATTGTACCACACTGTCGTATTTTCTTCCACTTGGGAGGTCTGTGACTAAATCCCTTTTTCATAAGACAATACTGTATAATTCTGCAGTGACATTCTTGCAAATGAAGCAAAAATTAAGATTTGAAGGTTATCCTTTTGCTGGTCCTACAAAGAATCCACTTTCACATGTTTGAGCCGTGATTTTACAACTTGCATTTTTATAGGTATGTCTTTGTGAGCAGGTGCATATTTAGTCTTCCCTTGCTACCAGCCAGATGCAGTCCAGCCCTCATCCCAAGTCCACAGTGTTGTGTTGATGCAGATGGCAGCTAAAAGGTCCAGCTTTCAGGGGTTTTTATTTGCTGAGCCTCAGTGCTGCACTTGCTGATGGACACCTTTTGTTCTCTGCTGTTGTCTTGATTCCAGCTTGCTGAGAGCAGCAGCACAGGCTTGCATATGCCAACATGCAGTCACATCCAGTTTCTCAACTGAAAGAGTTATCTAATTGTGGAGAAGGATACTACTTGCCACTGTTTTGAAAATAAGCTTTTGTGGAAGGCCAAGGCAAAGCTTCTGGTTCTGCATCCCTCACTTAGTAATTGTCACCAACATCCCAATTGCTTCTTTTTATGGTGTTTCTTCTTATGTTTTCTAAGATCACAACAGAGACAGGTAGTCTTATGCAAAGAATACTTCTAGAGGCAATCTGTGATTGCCTTATAAACTAGGCCATCCTTCCAAATATCACTTAGCTATCAGTACATTTTGATCTGTTGCACTGTACTATATGCTGTATTGTACACCTGTGTTTGCAGGTCTTTAAAAGATCTTTACAGTGTCGTTGGTTGTAGTATGTGCTGTAAAAGACATTAAAGCATTTTTTATTTTCCCCAAGAGTTCCAGGTACATGAGAACTCCATAAAATATTTTAATTTTGTTTTAATCCTCAGCTTAAACTTCTTTATCCTCTTTTATTTTTAGGATGAAGGCAGTCTTTTCTTTTTTTTTTTTTTTTTTTCTGTTAATAAGCTTTTTGAGTGTCCCAGTGTTTTCCAGTTCTGCATAGTTTTGCAACACATTTCTACTTGGCTTGGTACCTTTCTTGATTGAACTCAGACATGCTTTATTCTAGCCTCTTATAAAATGCAGAGGAAATGATACCTGAAATGCTATAGCAGTAAGTGTGAAATGAAACCAAATTAACACTTTGACCACATGCTGGTGAGGAGAAGTAGTGTGCAGCCAAGGTTTAAGCCCTGTTCAGTGCAAAGTGGAAAACTGTCCTTCCCCATTTTTGCAAAAAAAAAGTTTGTGTTTCTCAGAGTAACCACTGTTATTTATCAATCCTGTTATTGAGGATGCAATTTTTATCTGCTACACAGATAAAATACCCGAACTGAATTTACTCTCTTGGCTAAATAAACCTTCACAGTACCTTTTGCTGTGGGTAGTTTGCCATGATTTATTCTTTCTTAGGTTTTGTTGTACAGTTTGAGTTATGTTTATATCTATCTGTTCTAGGAAAATAAGGGTACCTATTCTGAGGTTCTCTATTTGCAGATGTTAGAGTGGCTAAGCAATACACATTAAATAAAACAGGAAAAAAAATTATTAGTGGCTACTGGACAAGTATGAGCTACTGCTCTAGGTTTGCAACAGAAATAATATTTGGGTTGTTGCCTTGGTGACACAGTGGTAACCTTTCACGTATAGGTACAAACTGTACTCAGCAAAGAATGCTGCATGCATCAGCTAGTGTTCTCCTCCGTTCAGACTGGTGGTGAGCGGGATGTTGTCCCAGGTTTTCTACAGTGCCTCATTGCTTGTAAAACATGAAGATAAAAGCTGGAACTTCAGTTTTATTCTCTGATAAACATTTATATTCTGCATTTCTGATCTGTATTTTTAGTCATTCTGTTAACACAACATGAAATAATAAAAAAATCATAATCTAATTTACCTACATTAATTGTGATTAATATATAGTCAAATACTACATTCCTTAGGATTTTTTTTTTCTCCTTAATGCCCATAACTCTTAAAAGAATCCTCTCCAGCTTTCCTGTAGCTCTCCTTTTTCCACTGCTTCTGCCAATAGTCTTTTTAATTCATATACAGAAGCTTGCTAGAAACAGATGAGAATGTGTGCATCTTAGAGAATGTAAGTTTGGAAGAGGGCAAGATAGATACTGTTATTAATATAAAGTATCATCTTCACAGTCATAATCAGGGATATTTTTTAAAAATGTTCTGAGCCATCAGGGCACGTGTACAATGTTCTTTGTATGGAAAAATTAAACAGTGTGAAAGGCAGATTGCCATAAATCAGTAGATTATTGTTAGTTAACATAATGTAGGTCACAGTACACTCTACTTCTCTGTTTATCATCTGCAGATTCGAAGTGTCTTTGACTAGTAAGATTTCCTTTTACAGAATCTGTGGAAAACATAATAAAATACCTTTAAATCTATTAATTATTTATAAGTTAATCTTACACTGCTTATCATGATGTTTAAAATGTTTAAGGAAGGCAAAAGATGCATGGATTACTTTTCCAGCAAATTATTTCCCACCAGTCTGCCAGCCTTGATTTTGTTTTCTTATCACTTGCAATTAATCTGTTCTGAAGAAGAATAATATATTGTTTTAGTTTGTTCACTTCTTTATATTTCCTGACTCTGACTGGAGGAAGAAAAACTAAAATAGTACAAATGAAACTTTTCCTTTTTTTGCTGGCCAGTGAAACTGGAAATACCCACTAAGTGATAAATAGTCTTCTGTGACAATTTTCCTGCACTGAACTGGAAATAAAATGCTGAGAGAGGCAGATTACCATAGACAGCTTAGGAGCTTAATTATAGTTACAAACTTTCTATGAGAATATCCTCATCTTAGTGGTGAATAAAAGATGTATTTTAGTAGCTGGACACTATTTAGATACTTTGACATACAGCAAGTATTGTGAGTTTGTGTCTCTTTATGTATCTGTTAAATGTCAGCAAATGATTATGAAATGCCTCTTTGAAATGAAATGGAAGTTGTGTGTAATTGTGGTTTTTAGTAGTCTTGATGTTCTGCAAATTCAACCAATTTTTGGCTCTTGTGAATTAAATGCACGACTCTGCAGCAATAGTCAGTGCTTGCTTTTGAAACTGACTTCAATAGGACAAAGATAAATATCACTATAAGAAATAAAATATAAAGACAAGATAAAGCCTTATTTTTATATATAAATAGTGATTTGGGCTTTTTGATAAGACTCAGAGTGGGCTATGATTATCAGTTCATGCTGGAGTCTTCACCCTATGCACCTCATTTTTCTGAAATTTGATATACAGTCACATTTTTACAGTATTCTTTGCGATGATGATCACTGAGCTTTAGGGTACAGGAAATCACTCTGAAGCAGCATCTGCTGTCATGACTGATGTCATCATAGTCCTACATCACTGTTGTAGAACATCTTTTCCTAAGTGGGTAAATGTTGGATTTCTGCAAATAGTCACGTACAGGTACTTTTGAGATAACAGCGTCTGATTGCATTAAAAATTTATTCTGTTCTTTTCCAAATATGAAAGGTTTACAGGTACTCTATAATAAATAGAAAACTATATTTGTTTTTCTGTAATATAGATTAAAAGTAAATATATTTGAAAACTTTTCTTATGTATGTCTTCTGCAAACTGTTGAAAATTAGTTCTCACATTTATGAAAGGTTGAGAACTACAGCCTTGAACGAGGTAACATTTTCTGTGAATTCTTTCATTAGAAATGCATGGGGCTAAAAGGAGTAAAAATAATGAAAAAGTTATATTACTTACTATTAAAGCTAATAATATTTTACTTAATGTACTTGATTTACAGATGAGTGATGGACTTTGCAAAATAGGTTTTGAATAGAAAAGTCTAGTTGCTAGCAAGTATGCATTTAGCTGCTTATGCATCCATCAAGAAATACATTTTAAATTTCTGTGTGATAAATAGGCCCAAAATGCCACTTTCAACCCTTGTCTTGTACCCCTAGTTAAGTCATAAGTGAGCCTTGATTTCTTAAAACTCTTGGGGTTTACATGTATTGCTACATATTACTTTTGTTTTAAAGCTCTCTTTCACCTTGCCGTCTCTTCCAATGTGGATGTAAAAAATGCGATGACCTTCAGTGGGCCTCTGGAAGACATGTTCGGGTATACAGTCCAACAATATGAAAACGAAGAAGGGAAATGGTAAGCTGTTCTTCTTTTCATAAATAGAAAGGTCAAATTATGAGATATTCAGTGACTCAGGTGCTATGCTATTATTTGTAAATATGCCCAGTACGTAAGGGTCAGATTCTGTCAGTCATATTCCTTAAACTAGTTCACAATCCTAAGGAAACCTGAGACGACTGAAAGATCCAAATTCATATCTACATTTATTTCTTCAGACACATAAGTGAGTTCACAAAGTGGGTAAATTCCATTGCTGATGAAGCTGAGGATTTTTTGTCTTACTCTTCAGCTCTCTTTTTTACCTTTAATAAATAATATCATTATTTATATTTTCCTTGTGTTCATGTACTGGCAGTGAAATTGCTCCTGTTTTACCTAACCTGTATTATGTATTTTTTTCCTTAAGTTTTCTGTCAGTGGTTGTCTGTACTGAGTTTTTTAAGTGATGGGAAGATTTCCTTGTCAAAATATTTATTAATACAGTAATGCATCTTCCATATTCACATTTAGTACGTGGAGCTTTCTTTTTCGCCTGTCTTTTCCTTCTTTTTGTTCTCCTGAATTAGAAGTTGAATTTTTGTGTGCTCACTGGTATCATTGCTTCTTGGTCTTTTGATAAATACCTGCTTATGCTTTTCCCATGTGAAAACAAACCTCACAGAGTCACCAGTGGTCTGGAGGACTGAAATAACAATTGAACGGTAAAAGGTTTGAGGATCCTGAGATCTCCAACATTCTTTGTAGATTGCTCTGGTTTTCCCAGAGCTTTTTCCAGTAATTTTAATCTTACAGGTGTTTTCCAACCTAAACAATGATATGGTTCTAAACTGACATTCATGGCAAACCCAGGGACTCCCGTGGGCAGCCTGAGATGACAGGCACATGGCTGCGTGACAGCCAGGTCAGACTGTTCTGCAGTGCCTGAGCAATCCCCCCAACTAATGATGGGGCTCTCTGACTCCAAGAGCCCGACTCCACTGACATGGTGGTTCACCATCAGCCATAGGGGATGTTCATGGACATGAAATTGCAGAGCCTGCCCTTGAAAATGGTAGCTCTTGATTGTCTGGGTCATAGGATGTTTTAAATATACATCTGCACAAGGGTCATGGGAGAATAATAATGACCTTCTTTGAGCTACCTGGAGGAAATGGCATCCATTGTAGGAGCTGGGGTTCTGCAAAGTAGGTCATGCTGTTGTAAACTGTCCTGAAACCTCTCAAAAGCAAAACATAATGTAAGCTGCAAATGGCGACTATTCCAGTAGCTGAAGGAAGACAGGAATCTAGTGTGCTACATCCGAACATCTCTGAAAGTAAACTCCAGAGCTGCTGTTAAACTGTCAAGCTGCTTTCAGCATAGCAACATCCAGAGCAGGAAGTCTGTAGGCTGGCAGTTAAAAATATATATACAGAGCAGCCTTGTGATGCTTTGCCAAGTGCTATTATACTCCCTACATACCACAGGTAGAGCTTTTCAGCAACATTCTGTGAACTTGTCTGCAGTTGTTTCTCAATAAAACTTGGGTTCCCTTAAAAAATCTCCCGTGCAAAAAGACAAATAGCCATTTCAGACCGTTTCTCTCTGTTCACGGGGCTCTTTCTTTCTGAAAAAAGAGCAGCATGGGGACATGATCCTGATGAGCATTGATCACTAGCCATGGAGTGTTGAGCACACTCAGCTCCTCTGCGCTTAAATGGGAATCAAGGATGTATGATAGGCTGTGGGTGGTTTCTAAGTTTTGATGTAAAAAGTACAAACATTACAGCCTCTAGCTTGAAAAAGCAGTCAGATCCCATATATACTTGGCACATTTTATTTTGCTTTAGAATGAATTTATTAATGACAAAATCTTTATGAATCACAATGAGCTATTCCAGTATGGTTTGGGGTTTTTTTAGAGCTGTGGGCTACATCTTACCTACTATATCATTCTATTCAATTCTGTCTTCTGCCTGGATTAATTAATTTATGATTAAAGATTGAAATGGGTCTCACAGTAATGCTTCACAATCATCAAAGTGCCCAGGAGAAAACCTTACTGAACTGCTTATTACTCTTAATGGCAGGATTTCTGTTTCCAATGTGTGCTGTGAACTCTAATTTAGTCCAAGTTCTTCCTTACACATTCAATGGAGTTAGTTGTTATCTGCTGGGTAATACCGGACTATTTAGTATAGCTAAGGAATATTTGAGAACAAAACCACTGTACATCTCTAAAGAATGTTTCTGCTGAAAACTGTATTTATGACTGGATGCTAATTTGTGGTGCTTACAAAGTACTATGTGAGAGTATTGATTTTTGATCACACCAGATTTTGGAAAAAAATGCACAGGATAAAAATCCTTTAAATTTTAAAACTTTGAAATTTATTTTTACAAACCTTTTAATAACATTTTTTTATTAGTGAGAGGGAAATTTACATATTTTACACTGCTAGGTCACATAACTTAAGACTGAATTCTTCTTCTGGGCACTTTCTTTGGCACTTGGCTTCTCAGCACTGAAAATACATTTTATTGTAAAATATAGTAAAAATCAAGAAGATACTAAGTAAAACAGACCTTTTTTTTTTTTTTTGTTACTTTTACTATTTGTCATTCACCCACCAATACTGCATTTATATTCCACTGGAATGTTTTAAAATGTTATCCTATTGTGCAGCTTGATATATAGGCACATTTCCTTTTTGCATTCTTATTAAAGAGGAGACAGAATCGCTGCTTTTGTTTGTAACTGAACTAGCATAATGGATACTTTTCTTGCTCTCCATCCTGTACTTCTAGCTGCTTGCTGTAGCTGTGCTTTCTCTGTACATTTTATTAGCTGATTTTGTACCTTTTAAGAAGGAAGAAATTTCAGGTAACTTATTTCATTTGCAGGGTACTTATTGGTTCACCGCTAGTTGGGCAGCCTGAAAAAAGAACAGGGGATGTATACAAATGCCCTGTAGGAAGGGACAGCCAATCACCCTGCATGAAACTGAACTTACCAGGTATGAAATAAAATAAAGCTGTGTCACATGGAGGAAAAATAGAGGTCAGATCTTAGGAGATTTTTAGCTAGTAAATATGCATTAGAATTGTTTCTATGGAGAAAATCTACGTAGGACTCCAGAGCTCAATGTGAAGGAAGTTGTGTTTGTAACATTGAAAGTAATTTTAGTTTGAAGCTTTTCATTGGCCTGTGGAAAATATGCTCATCATTTTAGAATGGGCATTTGGTTGTGTTATCAAGGCTTTATTGCGACTGGCATTAATATCGTAGTTGGTAGTCCTGACCCTAGAGCCAGAAAGGCTATGGAGCATAAATGCATGGATTACCCTTTCCAAAGCTCTCTAAAGCCAACAAGAGCCTTCATAATGCCCTCAATAAGCTTTTGATGAGAGCATAACTAGCCAGAACCAAGCTGATGCATCTTAGTTTGGCACAGGTAAATATTAATAATTTTCTTGCTTTTGTCAAGACATATGTGATGTAGACAGGAAGAGACTTCCTGTTAATATGTATTTCTCTAAATACACCTCTTGTATTTTTTATCTCCTCTTTTCCCTTGAAAACGTACACGTCAGTAACGTAACAGTAACAAACATAAAAGCTGTTGTTTGTAGCAGGACAGGGTAAAAAAATAAATGTTTGTTTTCTAATTAACAAAACTGTGTGAACAGTAAACTCTTGCTTTCATTGTTCTGTTATTTTTACTTTTTTTCTTTTTTGCGGTTCAAGAAAACTATTTGAGACAGTAAGCCAGACAAGTTTTCTGGGACAAGAGCCAGTCACAGAAATTTTTCTTGATTGTTGCTATTGAAGAAGGAGGAGGAAGGGTGTTAAAATATTTGGTGAAACCAGTGTCAGTCTGGGTTTTATTTTACAAGATGGAAGTTCCATTCTAGGAGATACATACTGTAACATTTTGTTTTCATGTTCCCAAATACTTAACATTTTAATCCATTTATAGATGCTACTTCAGTTCCTAACATTGTGGAAGTAAAAGAAAACATGACTCTTGGAACAACCTTAGTGACTAACCCAAAAGGAGGCTTTCTGGTAAGAAAGGACATTTTGCCAATTTTAAAAGTAGTCTTTTTCCCTCAGGTACCATAACAAAAACATTTCACCCTTTTTCATCTTTTAAAGGCATGTGGACCACTTTATGCATATAAATGTGGACGTTTGCATTACACAACTGGAGTTTGCTCTAATGTCAGCTCCACTTTTGAAACCATTAAGGCGATTGCTCCATCTGTGCAAGGTATGCATGCCATAGGATTTCTTTTTTGTGTCTGCAAATTCAATGCTAAACAAGACAAATGTATACACACAGGCATACCAAAAAATATGAACTGCTTAACTTAGCTACCAACATTACCAAGTTAAGTAAATGTTTTCATTGTCCGTATATAACCTAAATTCTTGCTACTTTTGGAATTTATCTCAGTATAAACAATCATTAAAGTGCTATGTAAAATCCAAACACAACTGCTAAAAATAGTTGCTTATGTTTTTTACTTATGACCAACAGACTCTTTTAAAATAATGATGGAATGTTAAGACCTAAAGCAAACCCAATTTAGTAATACAAATAAAAATCTTAAGAGACCTTTAATTAGAAAAAATCAAAGAGGAACAGATTGACACTGATGAAGGTAGGGCTCCCTAGTAAATGTTCCAGTTATGTGATCTTCTAATCCCATTCTTAAATTTATGCTTACAAGAGATTGCCTTGCTGACAGAGGGAACTCGAATCAAGTAACATATAAACAAGAGTTCATGAATGACATTTGGCTTCAAACATGTCAGTTCAACACCACTGTAGAAGGATGTTCATTTGTTACTAATCACAAAAGTAACTGGTGCTGTGAGATATATTGTTAGTATCAATTCTCATATGGCAATTTGTGTTGCAGCATGTAAAACCCAGTTGGATATCGTCATAGTCCTTGATGGGTCCAACAGCATTTATCCATGGGAGAGTGTCACAGCCTTCCTAAACAGCCTCCTGAAAAACATGGATATAGGTCCTCAGCAAACACAGGTAACGTTGTAGATATTTTATGGTTGTTTAGTTTGTGAGGAAAAAAAAGGATGGAAAACAAAAAGGAAATGGGATGATGGCATCATCTATGGGGATCTTTAATTCCAAGAACCTGGGGCAATGGGGTACTAAAACAAAACAGCTAAAACCACAACTAAGTCTGTGTCTGCCACCAACCAGCAGTATCAGGAAGACCATCCCTCCCCCCACCTCTCAAGCAGCCTGAAGAAAACACCTAGAAACAACAGTTAAGTGCATTAAGTGAGGCATTTTGAACGTTGTCCTTTCCCACATCCTTCCTCTCCACAATCACTTCTTGTCTTCTTTAGTACATCACAGCATAAAGGTCATTTCTGCTCCTCTCAGGTGCACATGTTTGGTTCAGACAGCCTTTGATTATAAGCTTTTTAGAGCAGCATTCAATATTTTGTACTGTGGAGCACTGAGCTCACAGCTTTTAAACATATGAAATCATCATTAACAAGCGGCTGTTAAGCTGCATGTTATTTATAGCAGAAGCTGGATTTATATAAAAAGTGGAGAGGGCCAAATTCCTAGCTGCTATAAATCAACACAGTCCCACCAGAATTAACAACCAATTACCTCAGCAGAGGATCTGACATGTTTCACAGTCTGCTGAACAGAGTAGGTATGTAGCAATTCCAGAAGAACTTGACAAATGGGGGACACAAGCACACCAGTACATTTTAATACTGAAAGCTTTACTAACAGCAACAGAAGAAATTGGGTCTTCCTTTCACTTCTCTCATTTCCTCCTCCCCAAATCAAGGGTTTTCTGTGATCTTGTGTAGTAGTTGATATGCTGCAGGCCAGTACTTACTGGTTTTGTGACTTTAGGTTAGGCCCTAACATTCAGCTCCTGTATTCACCTAGGAGACTGTGAGGCGGTATAAGGGATACCTCTGCCTGCAGAGAGTACCCCTGTCGTCTTCTCAGTTAGGGTTTATGAGTTACCATGCAACTGCCCTGTTGGCTGGACTGAACACTGACTTATAAAACTATTGCTTCTAAACTGTCAACTTTACAATCATGTCCTGTTATTTTAAACACACTGTTCCACATATTGTGAGGAGGAAGGAAAAATGCTTTGTCAAGTTTAACAGAAAGGAAAAAAAAAAAATCCTCCTGGTCCCTTAAGCTGGTCACCACTCAAACATATGACATCTTGGGAGATACTTAAACCTAAACTTCCTGGTATGAGGCAATGGCTGCATGGAAGTCATCACTGCCTTTTGCTCAAAGGGCTTCATGGGAAGTTGCCTTCACAGGGCAATGAACTCTACTGCACACTCACCTCACTGTGCAACTCCTAAATTTTTACATTGCCACACCTCTGTTATGTTTGGCTTTCGAATCATGCCTCGCCTGTGTGGCTCAGCTCGTGTACGAAAGGTCCCTTGGTGGCCTGCACTCCAGCAACCTGCCGTCTCTCCCTAGAAAATACATTCTGCCCACAGTTTGTCATAGCTGTCCCTCTTCTCATGCACTTACTCAAGAATGTCAGCTTTGGCATCTGGTTGCTACAGAGCAGAAACATTTGAGAGGGAGATAAGAATGGGATGTAGAGGAGAGAAGCTGAAAAAATGGAAAAGGAAGAATAAAGCTTGGTGGAATTTTCTCAATCCCTACCCTCCACCCTTCCTAAGAACATATCCCATCTCTTTCCTGTCCTCTGAGCCCACTGCTTGGGAACCCTGGCACAGCCAAAGGTAGTAACAAGTTCATACCAACTCATCCACCCACACTGTCTCCTTTCTCAGAAAAAGTGTTTAAATAACTCTTCAATGGCGGAAGAGGAGAAAAAAACAGAGCAGGCTTATTTGTCCCCTCTGCTATGGGAGCACAGAATAGAAATACAGGAACAATTGTATCTATATTGATATTTCAGTGTTCATCTTTTGGGGGTTCTTGAGCGTGTAGAAATCAACGGACTTCCACTCACTTCAGATTGTTTTCCTCTTGCTTGGGAAAGGAATGAGGTGATTACAGAATAACTCCTTAGCAGGTTGGGTGTGACTTGTTGAAAACCATGTTTTGATTAGAGGCTTGTGAGATACTTTTTTTCCACTCTACCCCGTCCATGAACAATGGTCATTAGATTTGTGGCAGGTCAGAAAACAAATTCCTCAGCTTCCCATGTTTGGCAAACTTGAAATTGAAAGGTAGAAGGTTCAGATGCAAAAAGATGAAGTCTACAGCATAATTTTTTCAAAAATACTTCCTTCCCTTCTTTCTGTTGACCAGAAAATCCACACCACCATACTGATGGTTAAGCTGCATATCCTGAGTTTAGGGATAAAAAAACTAAAGGGAAAGTGACACTAGAAAAGTGGAAAAGGAAGAAGGACTTAAGTGATAGAAAGTGGTACAAGTAGGAACAAAATATTTCTCCTGGCCTTATTCCACATTTTAATGTAACTGCAAAACAAGATAGTTTTTCCCTTCTTTTTTTCACTTCTGCAGAGATAATTGCCTTTTTTAATATGAGGGTGTGTCTTTTAATCCTTTACATATGAGCAATATTCTGTTGTAGAAGAATATCACAAACAGAAAGCAGAATACTTAGATATATTCAATTCTAGCTTTAAGGCTCTGTTGCAATGACTTTCAGAAATTTTCAGACATGTATATTTCCCCATTAATATATGACACAGGCAGTCATAGGTGTTTGGCCTGTGCCTTATTATATTTCCAAAGGGACTACATCAGTGAACTACTAAGTCATGCCATGTCATATCTTACCATCCGTTTTATCTCCAGAAGAACAGAAGTGTATTAATGAGGTATTAAAAGGATTCAGGGTTAATAAAGACTTTTGCAAGTTTACACGTAATTTCTGTCTTGAGTCCTGGAAGCAAACAAAACACAGCAGAATTATTTCAGTTTTGCTTTGATTTGGGTACATTTAGCAAGGTCTCCATATGCTAACTTGTATTATCCATTACCACTTCCCAAGGTTTCTCTGCTTATCTTTTACGTTAAGTGTCAACTGGGTACAGCCAAAAATATTTGTAATTTTCCTCTACATCCCAATGGTGAAAATCCCAGCATAGAATTTCTATGTACCAGGTGGTTTTCCTTTCTTTTTTTTTTTTTTTTGGTGGTGTTTGTTTGTTTGTTTGTTTTGGGGTTTGTGGGTTGATTTGTTTTTGTTGTTGTCATTGCTATTGGTTTGTTGTTTTGTTTTTTTTTATCAAGCTAAAAAGATTAGCTTGATAATTTATTGGGAAAGTCAGAACCTACTTTCCAGCTAAGGGGCTGTGTTTGCTCACAAAACAACAATAAAGAATTGCCCTCAGAAATGTTCTGTTCCAAAGTAGAACAGTCCTTCAGTTGCCTGTTCTCTCATACAATACTTTTTCACAGGAACTGTGAACAATTAAGGAATTATTCCCTTGTGTAATATAAAAGCCATGGAATGCTAGGCAAGGGAACATAAACTTAGGAATTACAAAGATGTTCAATAGATTATGGTCAGTAATGCTGGGAAAAAATATTAGGTTTTCTGGAGTTGAGCAGAATTGTGTTCTTCTGTGTAGTACTATTGCATTTAAGTTAAACAAGCAAATCAAAACATACAGTGCCTGTAAGCATCATTCTTAAGGACTTGCTGAAGTTATGCTGTTCAAACAGTTTTATTGTCCCTTAAAGGCACATTTGCATAACATAGATGTGTCATAATTTTCCATTAGATTAAAAGGCTGCAAAAGCTCAAACCTTCATTGCTATCTAGTAGGATGTAATTGTAATTTTACAAAGTGGACTGGGTTCTGTGATCCTCCTGAAGACTAGAACATGGAGCCTAGTAGTATTTTGTTGTTTGTGGGAAGCTTTTTGTTGGTTTGTTTTTTTTTTTTTTTTTTAAGAATTGTTCATCTTTGAGGCCATTAAATACACAGAACATGATGATCAGCATTTTCAAAGCTAGTACTAAGGAAGGGTCCCACAGAACAATTGTGTCCCATAAGATAACCACATGACCCTTTCCTTCCTGATTTACAAGCTATGCAGCACAGTGCAGTCTTCCAGATGCAGATGTTCTTCCCATTCACTCCCTGAGAAGGAAATGCTCAAAATGTTTACTTGCTGTGATCATGGATGTTTCCTTTCAAACAGGAAATGATACAATTCAGTGTCAGCCGGTAATCTTTTTTTTTTGAAAGCGACAATGCCAACATGGGTCTCTAGAATCATGAAAGACTGGGAGGCATTTTTCGCACTGGCAACAGTCAATAGTTGATTTAATCCTTAGCACCACCAAGATCCTCAAAGCTGCAGAGAAGGAGCCCGTGTATCTACGGCGACAGGCTCCCTGGCATACAGTAGACTCTGACTACATATTTGCAGGGTCCTGGAATACTTAAGGCACTCCTCCTGCTCTAAAAGACTAAATATAATGAAAACCTCTTGTTTATCACTAGTTAATGCCAGTCTTTTTAAATGACTAGCAGCATCCTGCTCAGACTACAGTGTATGCCACTTCAGATGCATGTCATGAAATAGTTGCCTTGGAGAGAATGGGTTAAAAATTTCCTCTTCATCTTGGGGTCTAGGTGCCACACAACTGCTTTAAGTGGTAATACAGCATGTGCCCAGCCTGCTGTGTAAACACTGTGCAGGATTAATAGGCTGCTGCCCACAAGAATGTGCTGCCTGTAGATGCTGTCAGCTGCAGGTCGAAGAGGGCGTGCCTCCCTCTTAAAAGGGAGCAAATTGTCATAAGTTTGAACTTACATCAGTTCTTCCAGATTTAATTGTATTTTCAAAAGAATACAGAAATTAAGTGGGATAGATTTTGCTACCACATACCATTATCATTGTAGTCTCATAATTGTATGTAACTAGTTCTTCATAATGATTGTGATACGGTTGTTTAGTATCAAATATTTATCAGCTGTAACCCTTCTACTACAAACAAAGAAACATCGTGCAGAATCTGAGACTATAAAAGTACCTGAAAAACCACCTATAAAGCCATTGCAAAGTACATACTAAGCCACTTCTAAAGTAATATGATGGCATAAACATCCCAGAGATCCCACTGATGTTCAGCACCTACATGCTACAGTGCTTTTAATAATAAATGAGTGAGACATAAATGCCATGTAGTGCTGCATTATCCTAAATAACACCTATAAATTGCCACATGTCACATAAAATTGAAATATGCTAATGGAACATTGTGTAGATTCTTCTCAGTAAAAGCTGTCAGGAACCTGCCAAACATTAAAACTGACAGAGATGAATGAGAGAAATTAATATGTAACAATATTGCTTGCCTTTTTATTTCACACTTGTTTTTGTAGCAGGTTCCCTCAAGTATTTGTGGTTCAGTTCTAATCCCATGCATTGATCTTTCACACAAAGGCTTGTCCTGCTGAGGTCATCTACAGTCTTTCCATCAATCTCCTCCATTTCAGAAGCCACTATTTTACTCATATTGTCCTCTCTGGCCCTTGTCACATGTCTTACTTTGGCTTACCTCCTGCTGGGAGAATGGCCATGTCCTGGACTGCCCTGCTGTCTTCATCAAGGATGCTTGGGTCTTCCTCTCACCCTGAAAGCCTAAATTTATCATTGCAGTGTTGTTTCTAGACTTGGTTTAGGGTACTAAACTATCAGGTGTAGGAATATTATATTTGGTTGAATGAAGAGAGTTGTGAGTGGATGATAGGATTGTTCCCGATCAGGAATACTATTTGGAGAAGTTGTGACTGATGGTTAGGACATGGGTCTGCCTTGGCCTAGAGCAGAGCAGAGCTGCAGCCCAGATTGCCACAAGTCAAGAAGAGCAAGGAGTTGAGCTTGGTTTTAACTTTTTCCCTATTTTTAATATAAACAATTTAGAAACTTAAAAATGAGATTGAGTGTCTTTTAGCCAGTCTTGCTCAAGTGCTTATAGGTGTTCCATACTGAAGGAAATACACGGAGTTCAATTCTTTTCCTGGCTGCATGTACACGCAGACATTTACCCCACTGCAGGAGATGCATATGTTTTCTTTAAGGGCAGCTGACTTTTAACATTAACTGTGTGTTTCAGGTTGGAATTGTTCAGTATGGACAGACCGTAGTCCATGAGTTTTTCCTGAATACATACTCAACAACAGAAGATGTGATGGAGGCAGCCCTGAGAATACGCCAGCGGGGTGGAACACAAACTATGACAGCCCTGGGAATAGACACAGCGAGGTACACTCACAAAATGTTGTCCTGCGTGTGGTAGGAACAAGCACACACATATGGTGACCATTTGTATTTTATAAATTAAAAATACAGTGTCACTAATGTCTGACTTCATTTTAGCTAAGCAAATAACATTTAGGAGAAGGGTGAATAAACATTCTTGTCCTTTATCTACAACAGTTGTATATAGCACCCTGGAAAGGCAGCTGTCTCTTGAATGGAGGAGATGAGAAAGAGAACAGACATGGAGCAAGGTTTCAGTCCGAAGAAAAGGGCTGGCCATTTTTGATGTAGGGGGATGAAAGAAATCAAGTTTTTCAGAAGAAACAGAATAAAGTAAAACATGTTTAATGTTAATTTGTCTTCATTCTGAAATTAAGATCATTACAGGTTTTGAGCCCACCCTTGTCAGAAAGCCTAGAAATTTTATATCTAAAGTCATTGAAGTTTCTTGATCAGTGGGATATTAAAGTTCTGTTATAGCAATAGCATTATTCAGAAATGTTTCCTTTAGGAGAAATATCAAATCTGACTTTTGTAGAACAGACAGTATATGCAAAATTTCTCAGAAATTTTCAAAGTATACAATGTTGATCTGGTATCTTTTTTCTTTTTTACTTTTTTTTTCTCCTGGCATGACAGGATGACTTTATTCTGTAAAAAAATTGAATATGCCCTTTAAAAACAACCATTCAGTGAAATCTGCATCAACTTTGTGATTAACTATTTGATTATCTGACCAACAAAAAAAAAAAAATAAACCATCAACCAAGCAGACCAAAAAAGTAAACCAGCAAGCAGACACAAAAAAAAAAAAAATGCACCATCAAACAAATTTTTGTTGATAGGATGTCTTAAATCCAACAAAATTCTTACATAGTCATTAGTATTCTTTTCCTTAGATGCAAGTAGAAGCTTCAGGGAGTCCAGACAAGATCCTAAAAGCAGAGCCAGTTAAGAACTGACAAAATACTCAGAAACCACATGTGGTTCAGGAAGTCCTTGTGCACCACAAATGTCTGCAAGCTTGTACATACAGAAACTATCAGCAAAAGCTCCCTCAGTTTTTGTCATGTTCCTATCCATCCACTTTTGGCCATCATCAGTGGTAGATCTTGGCTTTCACTTGTGTGGCCAGCCTTAGAGAGGTATTTTTTTTGTGAAAAGGGGAAGTCCTGCTTCCTTCCTTCTGCTCCAGAGCCCTAATCCAGCCTTGCCTTTTCTGGTCCCCCTGAGTAAGGGTGCGCAGCTGCCCAAAACCTCTGTGCCCATTTGCCCACCTGCAGCTGTAGAAATCAACTAGTCATGCCCACCTATCTCCACTCACCTGCAACCTACTTTGCCACACCCTCAACATCCAGTTTAACAGCTGTGCAGAATTGTGCTGGTAACTGAGTAAACTCTTTGACCATGTGAAGTACTGCCGTAGGTTGGATATAGATGGGGGCTGTTTGGTGGTTTTTAGGGATGTTATTAAGCTGGCCAAAAGCTGTTCTAAGGTGCCAGAAGTTTATCTAGAACGGGGAAGAATTTTTCACTAACCAGCATTGTATTTTCTGCTGTTGCTCTCAAATGAGTGAATACTGAATGAATCTTTCTGAAACTTTGGCTGTGAACTATCACATTAAGTTTGAACTGTTGTTCTTTGTATTTGTTCACAGTTAATATTAATCCCCTTTTCCTACTTTAAAACTACTAAAAAGTTTATGGTTGACTATGCAAACATGATGTATATTCTAAATGCTGACTTTGCCTTTCTCCTAACACTTTATGCTCCCTTTAGGAAAGAGGCTTTTACTGAGGCTCATGGTGCGCGAAGAGGAGTGCAAAAAGTAATGGTTATTGTGACTGATGGGGAATCACATGACAACTACAGATTAAAAGAAGTGATTGATGATTGTGAAGATGAAAACATTCAGAGATTTGCTATTGCTGTAAGTGTAATTTGATGACAAAATTTAGAACCTTAAAAACATTTTTCATCTTCCGAATATAATTTCTGTTTAAAAAGTTAATTTCATGGAATCTTTATGGAAATATAATCATTTCTGAGAGGAATAAAAGAAGCTGAAAAAAAGCATTAAAAATTTGCTTTCTGATTTTATAGCACATAAAAAAAAGCAATCTATCTGTCTTCCTGGTAATGACAGGTATGTGAAGAAAAAGAAGAGTTTGAGGGGCACTATAAAATTCAATCTTTTTTCTTAAGAGCAATATTGATCAGAATGGATTAGTTCAAATCTTCTCAGCAATTTCTACAGACACATTACCTTCTTAAAAAAAAAAAGAAAAAGTAAAGTATCAACAAAACCAGGTTATTATGGCTGTTTTGTGTGCTGGCATTCTAAAGTTGTCATTTTCAGGTCGAGCAAACTTAATAGCTGAATGAGAGGATGAACATGAGGGAGGTTAACACATATTGAGAAATACGGAAACATTAGTGATAGATTTAGTAGGAACTTGCCACTGTGTTTGTGTATTCTATACTCAAATCATCTGTTTTCTCATATTAATTCTGAAGACACTTAGTTGACTTCCTGTTCCTGTCTTTGGTTTGGTACAATGAGGTGATATGGAACAATATAACTTGAAGCAAGATGTTATCTTTAATTTAAACAAAGACATAAACCAAAAATTGCATCCAACATCACACAAATTTTCAGTGGTTTCCTTTAAAAAGCTAGAGGCCATTTTGAAAAAAAAAGTCATTCTTGAAGCTGCAATAATTTTTAGCAATGAAATCCCTTACTAGAACCAGATTTTAATTGCTCCAGTGTCCAGGAATGATAGAACATGGAAGTTTGGTTTTTATTTCCCTCTCAAAGGAAGATATGTGCATAGAACACATTTTTCTATGAACATTACTTGTTCATCTGGGAATTGGAAATGTGAGTAGTTTTGTCCTGAGACTTCCTGAATTTTTACAGCAGTGGTGTTAAAACTGCAAAGCAAACCTGGTTTTACACTGTGATGGAGTTGTTAACACTGAATACAAATGTTGTTGTTATATGTATTTATAGGGCAAATCTGCACACACAAAAAAAGATAATTATTCTATGCCTAATTAACCTGCCATTAATTGCTTATATACTGTGATATGAGGAGAACTGGTGATACCTATGCAGAAGTCAGAACAATTGTGTATTCTGGTTTGGATGTTAATGTTGGGGTTTTTTGTCAGTTAAGGCCTGCTTCAAAAAAAAAATCATACAGTCATAGTATATATCATTAGAATTTTGTAATGGGACAAAAGGCTCAGTTGAGGATAGCAGACATTACACCACACAATCACTGTTAGCAAAATATTGTCAATATTTTCAGAAAAACAACTAAGCCTTCATACAGTTCTGTTGTCATTAGAAACAAATAGTTTCAAATCAATTTGAGGGAGGTTTAAAAAGAACAAATTAAGATTAGAAATGATTTCCCAATATTCTCTGGCAACCTGACACAAATGTATCTTTTAAAACAGGTTATAAAATGTATCCTTGACTTTTTTTTTTTTTAATTCTCTTTAGATTCTTGGCAGCTACAGCAGAGGAAATTTAAGTACTGAGAAATTTGTAGAGGAAATAAAATCAATTGCCAGTAAGCCTACTGAAAAGCATTTCTTCAATGTCTCAGATGAATTAGCACTTGTAACTATTGTTGAAGCACTTGGAGAGAGAATATTTGCCCTGGAAGGTAAGACACTATTAAAAATTTTACTTCATGTCTGCTTTTATCTTCCTTTGCAGTGTATTGTGCTGCATAAAATCTATTATGCAGATAGTTTCTCCATGCTGATCATAAAAATATTTTACAACGGACATAAAAAACATAGATAATGATGTGAAATATGTTCAGATGGGCTAGCGTCCATGCAGACAATAGCCTAAAAGGGTAAGTAACCATTATGATTTTAGCTGGGGTAAACATGAAGTTACCTTCCCTGAGGTAAAAAAACATTGCCAGGCCATATCCTTATTACGCCATGGTCATGTGTTTGTCTGCCTGTTCCTTTAGGTTTTGCTTAGTTATCAATTATCAAATATTACTTTGCTATGTAAGTTAACGTGGACATGGTGTACAGAGTGGACAAGATACAATTTTTCCTTTGGAAATGTTCACAATACTTCAGTTTTAGCACAGAGAACTCATTTTTACACTTACCATTGAAATGAGGCAATTCTGCCCAAATCTCTCATTGTTTCAATCACACTATTGGTAACTGAAGACTGAGTTTATTAGTGATAAATTATACTGGTCAATTCGGAGGGGATTTCTGTCATGCAAAGAAAAATCCATCTACTTAGACCTTTTTTTTTTTTTTTTTCCCCAACTTCTCAACTTTCCAAGGAGCTGGAGTAGTATATTTTACAGAGGGAACAAAAGCTAACGTTGACTTGAATATCAAGAAATAGTACAAATATAAGAGAGTATTTGATTTTTGTTTTTATTTGTGCTCTAGTTCTCATACATATTTAGGGATTTTGTGTGTGTGTATTATTTACTTTGATCGGACATGATTCTCTGCTGATAATAAATATTTTTCACAGTTTATATGTTCTTTTTTCTTTCTGGAAGATTTTGTTTTCTCACTTTTGAAACACATTAATTTGAGGAGAATTTAATCTTTCTAAAGTGCAAAATTTAGCCTACTTAAACTACATTGTGTAAGTCAAAGTTCATAGAATAGGGGGCTCTATATTTAGGCTCTCTTTACTAGGAAGAATACAGTTTGAGTGGAAAAATTAAGTTGGTCAAACAGATATTGAAAACCTAAGTTCTGGCTGGGTCGGGACAGGGCTGGTTTCCCCAGAGCCGGCGGG